GGCACTGCCCCCGAAACGGCCGAACAAGGCGAAGCTGCAGCAGCAACAGCCGCAGCTGCAGCAGCAGCAACAGCAGCAGCAGCAGCAGCAACAGCAGCAGCTGCAGCGGCGGCGGCCCAAGCTCGCGGATGCGATCGAGGTGAATGGCGTTGGGGCTTGGAGGGCGGCTGTACGGATGTACGTGATTAGGCGGACTGCGGGGTTTTGCGGTTGGGGTTGGGGCGGCGGTGTGGTGTGCAGTATGGGTGTGTATTGTGAAATGACGGCTGACTGCCCGTCGTGCATCCCGTCGCCGCGCCAGATTCCGCCACACGCAAGCACTGCTGGGAAGCGTAGGCGCACCGCCGTTGCCACTGACACAACCGTTGCCAACATTACTACCGCGCCTGTCGCCACAACGATTGTTACCCCCCTCCCCCCGATTGAGGAACAACAGCACCAGCGATTTCCCGAGCTATGAATTGCAGACGTTCCGTCGTACACCCGTCGTACACCCATCTGAAGAATCCCTACACGCCCATACACATACACAATCACGCAATCACACAAAGGCACCGCAGCGGTGCTGCCCCGATAGATACATACTGTGCTGCAGTGCAGTGCACTGCACTGCACTGCATGCACCGAAACCAAGCGGCCTTACCGGCTTTTGAAGCTAGTGGCCGGGTGTCGGTTGTTGAGTTCAATTCAGATGCTACTGCCGTAGCAGCACTTGCAGTAGCAGCACCAGCAGTAGCAGTAGCAGGACCAGCAGTAGCAGGGTATGGCGCAGGAGGAGATGTTGCAGCGTAGGCGGGTTGGGGGTTGGGGGTTGGGGGTCAACCGAAAGGGAACAGCGGTGGGCCCACCAGGAGGGAGTTTTGCTTCCGGGCGGCGACCCCCCCTTTTCCCCCCCGTTCACTCGTGGTTCGTCTTTCCCCCCATTTCCCCCCATTTCCCCCCGTTTCCCCCCGCTACCTTACCTTTACGCCTCCCCCTTTCTCTTGCACATTGCAGGAGAAGCCCGCTCCTAGCTGCTGCTTTGTGCTGTCTTTCTTTAGCGGCGGCGGCGGCGGTGGCGGCAGCAGCGCTAGCGGCGGCGGCGGCGGTGGTATGAATGGTTCTGGTCTCGATTCGGGGCAAGCGCCAGTTCCGG